TTTTTTTTTTTGTTTTTGGTCTTCTTTGTTTTTATTTTTGAAGGTGGTTTGTCAAAATCAATTAAAACTTTTTCTTTTCTCTGCAATAATGATGTTGTATCGTACTTTGTTTTCCATGGCTTTGCTGCTGAGCATTGCATGTGTGGGGGTGGCGATTGGAGAGACTCCTGGTCCTGTGGGAGATACTCAACATCCTTCGGGGAAAAATGGTGAAACCGGCCCTCAAGGTCCTTCTGGTCCTACTGGACCTTTAGGTGATAGAGGGAGTACTGGTGAGTCTTTGAAAGATTCTGCTTCTTCTACTTGTCCTCCAGCTACTAATAGTGAATCTACTGAGGTTGCTAGCCGTACCTGTGATTCTCGTACTATTACTACTACTACTGTCCCTTCTGGTGGTGGTGATGATAGTAGTAGTAGTAGTGGTGGTGGAGGTCAGGGCGCAGGGCAGCAGGTACAAGGTACATTGGTTGGCCGTACAGATGAGAACAGGGCTGGCAACGGTACTGACGAAGATCTCGTTGACCCAGGGCAGAAGGATAAATTACAAACAGGCAGTGATGAACAAAGTAAACAATTGAAGGAAGCTGGTAAAGCAGCAGAGAGCCCTTCCGTTAGCGACAGAAGAGACGCTGAGAATACTGATTCCCAAACTGATGCAAGGGGTACTACACAATCAACAGGGAACCCAACTGACGGTTCGCATTCAGAAGAACCCTCTGCTCCCACCCAGCAAACGAATACAAGTGACACTTCTTCTGGCAGTTCATCTGCGGAGAATGCTGTGAGTTCAGATGCTGCAACGGATGTGAGTAACGCTGCCACTTCATCTGAAGAGAGTAAATCAACAAATAACACAGCTACAACCACCACCACCACCACAACAACAACAACAACAACACTTCCTCCTGAACTCACAAACAACAAGAAGGGTGATGCAGACAGCAGCAGCAGTATCAGCAGTTCTGTGTGGGTGCGTGTACCACTACTGATTGTGGTTACACTATCCTGTATTCTTGTGTGCTGATTGAGTGATGATGGTGTGGTGTGGTGGTGTGACTCAGGTCATCCTTTGTTTTCTTTTCTTTTTGCATGTATCCCTACAGTCTAACTAATCTTCCACCTGTTTGGATTTCTCTTCTTTTTTTGTTTCTTAATGTTATTGTGTTTTGTGTGTGTTTTTGCTCTCTCTGTGTTTATCCTATAATTATTATTATTGCTACTATTCCATTGTGTGTGTGTGTTCTTGGAGACTTTCTCTTTGTGTGTGTCTGGGCTTGCACTGTGATAATGATAATAATGAACTGCTTTTTGGAGTGAGAGGGAAAAAGAAAAAATATACATGTAAAATTGCTTATGAATTTCAACATAATCATGGTTCTGTGGTTTCTGCCCTTTATCATGCCACTGCTAATGTTCTTAATTTCTTTTTCTTTTGTTTTGCTTGAAATTCTTTGTGATGCCCTTTTATGGGCTTCTCTGTTATTTTTGCTGGTTGCGTTTGTGTTTTTTGACTCTTTTACTTTTTGTTGTTTTTGCTCGTCTAATTATTACTATTATATTATATTTGCTTTTTTTTCTGTTCTTTTTTTTCTTTCTTCAACCAAGTGAAGAAAAACAAATAAAATTAAATCTTGGAGTGATGTTGTTGTGTCGTGTGTTATTTTTTCTGATGTTGCTGCTGAGTGTTGCCTCAGTATGCGCCACTGAGAACACGATATCCACTAATGATAATGGTAATCGTGCTGATTGCCCTGAGGGTAGTGGCGGTACTAATCGTTGCTCTTCTGCTGCTTCTGCTGCTGCTGCTGCTAGTGCTGCCGCTTCTTGTACTGATGGTGGATCTACTAAATCTACTGGTGATACTTGTACTCGTGCACCTCAAGGTCTACCTACTGGATCTGGTGGTAGTGGTGATGCGGGTCCATCTACACAACCAAACACTGTTCCAACAGGAAAAGAACATGAAGGTCCTTCTGCTGGTGATCCCGCTCCTCCTCTTACTGCACCAAGTGTAAGAACTGATGGAGAAGGTCCCGCTGGTGATCAAGTTGAAAACAAAACACCGGAGCTTCGAGATGGAACACCACCAGATAGTGATCCTACTGCAGGTGAAGGTACAAATGAAATCAGCAGCAACAGTGAAGGAAGTGGAAGTGCACCATCACAGGCTCCACCTTCCTCCACCACTTCAGAAACAGCGAGTAACGGTGGTTCTAATGCTGCTACGACTGAGACTGATACAACATCTGCAGAGAGTGAATCAACAAGGAACCAAAATGATGGAGGAAATACAGATACCACCACCACCACAACAACAACAACACTTCCTCCTGAACTCTCAAACAACAAGAAGGGTGATGCAGACAGCAGCAGCAGTATCAGCAGTTCTGTGTGGGTGCGTGTACCACTACTGATTGTGGTTACACTGGCCTGTATTCTTGTATGCTGATTGTGATTGTAATGGTGGTGGTGGTGTGACTCAGGTCATCCTTTTTTTCTTTCTTTCTTTTTTTTGCATACATCCCTACAGTCTAACTAATCTTTCACCTGTTGGGAAATTTCTTCTTTTTTTGTTTCTTAATGTTAATATGTTAATGTGTGTTTTTGCTCTCTCTATGTTTATCCTATAATAATTATTATTATTGCTACTCCATT